AATTTCTTTGTTCGACCTTTCTACAATGTATTCAATTTTGCTGGCTCACTGTTGGTCACATCTGCAAAGGATCGAATGTCCTGTCCCCCTAGCAGAAGTGATTTATGTAAGGTTTTACGAGCTCAAGGCGGTTTGATTTTACTTAGAGTACTTCTTGCAAGTCATTGACTGCCATTAAGGGGTAAAAATAGTCCTTGTCCTCTTGAGAGAACTATAGGAATATGTTGGGGTGATATCAACCATGATCAAACCGGATGCGCTGTGCAAGTTCATGGTTTATTGTTATTAATGAGGGAGGGAACTGATGGGAGGAAGTTAACTTTGAAACAATCGGATGCTTTACATGAATTCCACCTTCGACAAATTTCCTCTTGACTAAAGTGATACATCATCCGTTTGTTGCAATATTTCTGTCAGCTAGTACACGGCCTGGAAAGGGTATTTACAACCGTCGAAAGATGATCCTCGGTGACTTGCCGATTTCTACAAAATATCACCGAGGCTATCCGCACCGTTTGTTGCTGCAGACATCCATTTTCTTTAACTCTTTAATTCCATGGAACTGCACTATAGCTATCATTCATAGTAGGAGTTTGTTCCAGCTGCCGATCGTTATGTATTTGTTTCGCTTGGATCGTCCGCCCATGAAACAATTGCCTCTGAAAGGCTGCGTCGTCTGCTATGGGATCAACAATGAAGAATAAATATTCAACACAATGAGAACAGGCTGTCGTCTAAGCAAGGGGAAAATCTATAATTTGCATGTCATTCAGAGTTCATTTTCACAGATGAGCTCGTCATAATTTAGTGTGATTTCATTATTTGAATATGACGATGGCTTGGATCTTGCTGGGTACGAGTGAGTTTTGTAACCAGGGTGGCGTGAGTTCATTGTCAAGCACGCTGCGTTCCAGCCGTGTTGGCGCCTCACTATTGACTTTCCTATTGCTGAACTGAGGTCCATCGTACTCTCGTCTAGAATTTTACCCAGAGAACTTTCTAAGCGACCATGAACTTCCAAAGAACGAGTGATAAAAACCATGTCTGACTAAAGCCTTAAGATTTGACCCGTCTTCTGTACACATCCGGACCTTCACTTTATACGGAATACAAACATGTTTGTTTGATGTACTCGGGCAAATATTTAACTGTTTCACAAACGCTTTTTGTTGGAGAAATATTTGAGAAAACAGAGCTGCTGTGAAATATGATTTTGGCATGCTCTCGCATACTTCAGGTACAAACACAGCTGTTTTGAAGGAGAGGTTTTTGATTGTTGATCAAATTCGGTTCCCCGCATACAATGAAATTTCATCCAGCGCTCAAAATATGAAAACACCCTTCACATTTCAGGACACAAATGGGATAGTTTGCTTTAGTCCTGATGGACGAAACGTCAAAGAAACTCCCTGTTGTGCCAGGGATGAGCGTACTTCCAACCAGGACCTTTTGAAGTTGTTTTGAAAGGGTGTGGTGTTAGCGGACTGACGAATGAATAACAAAGAACCTTCACGATCGAGGATATGTCACGCCATTATATAAAGTGCAGGCACGCGATGCATACCTGCTTTTGACTGAAAATGTACTTGTACACTTTTCAAAGTAAATGTCTGTTCCGAGCGTATGTCTTGGCCTCTTCAAAACAAAATATCAATAGTTCTAGCCGTGGGAAACATGGGTTTTGGGTTTTGCATGGAATGCTACTTCTCACTTTAGTTTGTTGTAGTCGGCTAGTTTATCAACTCTTCACGTTATCTATACAGTCTATTGTGCTATTCTCGAATTTCAGAATTGCGTATCAAGCATAGTTTTAGCTCAGTTGAAGACGGAGATAATCATTTCCAAAACAGTTTTTCAAAACCTCCAAAGTATAGAGCATCTTCTGTAGACCGTATGAACATCTTATTCGCACATTTCCCATGGCTATTCAGTTTCTCTCTCCCATCTGCTTTATATTCCAATCGCTGTCTGCTGCTGATCCGCAGTCCGGTCTAGTTCATACGATTCCATACTTTGCTCATTGTTCCGTGGTTCCCCGACACATCTGTTGTTTAAAGCCGTTTTCCTGACTCATAAGTACAGGTTGACACTCCGGAAGCAACAACTCCAGCGTAGATTGAAATGAACACATTGCACCTCTCGACGTAACACTATACAAACCTACTCAAACTAGAGCACGTCGTAGTCCTTGTAGAATTATGGGAAAAACCTACATGAACCTGTGCGCTCAAACTCAAAATTGATTATCTACTCATTTCGAACCAACTTCTTTTGCGACATCGATACGAGGTGAGTTTTAATTCGTAATAAAGAACTAAACGCAAGACCTATAGAGCTCTTTCCAACAACTGCCTCGCCACAACAGTAATTGAAACCTGGCATTCTAGCCTTCCTTTCAAGCAGTCGTTACAATAACCTATTCAACTATATACAATAATGACCATTCTGGACACAAGGGACTATTTGCATTTTGCTGAAATGTTACGTCAAAATCCCTTGTAAAAGATCTCCCCCCCCAAAAAAAAAATATCAGAACGCCTATACACTTTTTTCCAATTGTAAATTGTTCTGATTTTGAAGATTTCACAAATTTTCAAATAATAAATTTGAGAGCCCTTTTGCCGTGATGCTGTCTTTGCATCTACTGTTGGGTACTCCTTCAGGTAGATTTATCTGTAAGGGAAAACTGCAGTAGGGCCTATGTAATATTTGAGGCATAGATGTTAGTAGACTTATAATCGACAGTATGCTGCGGAGCAGTGCAGCACCGACATAGGTAACAACGCACACACAGACAGTGGCTTGCTTTCTATGTATAATACGCCTGAAGCATTCGACCTCGTTCTTTTTTGGCGTTGTTTATTTATAAAGTTTGTACCCTATTTGTTTCTATATGTTGGAAATGAAACTGCATGCTTGGTAATCCACAATCCAAGCACCTTCTTTCTTGGGCACCCACCGTGGTCGCTTGTACTTTTTCAGGGAGTTGGACCTGTTCCGTAACTTTGGTCCAGGCTTAGTTGTGCACGCCCTACAACTTCGTTTCCTCTAGTTCCCCGTGAGGTTTGAAACGTCTGTGTGCTCCACTGTAGGGCGCGTGTGTCATGTCCGTTCAATTTCACCTTGTACTTTTTGCGTGTTATTGGCCCCTTCTTCGGTAGGCGGAACAAAAGGCCTGTCTTAATCCCACTCATATCTTTGAGCGACATTATTTTAAATTCTTCTTTAGAAATGCATCGTCATTCAAAATTAATGAAAGGAGGAAATCAACAGGAGAAGCCTATCAAAAGCTGAACCAGGTCTTGTTTCTAAAAATACTGCCATTTTTTTTTCACCCGTAAAAGAATCCCTATTGCCCCTCTCCAAAGAAAGGTGGTAGCCTCTTTTCTCAATTGCAAGCGCTTTCAATAAAAAGGCAACATGTCGGGGGGCAACTCCCCCACAGCCCTCATTCCACCCCACCCCCGCCGGATACGCCACAAAAGTGTGAGGCCAAATAGAAACAGGTTGGGGGAGAAATTAGATCGTCAATTAGTATAATGGTGATGTAACTTAAAGGTAAGTTTAATCTGCCCAAAAGTGTTGGCCTTTTACGTATTGTGCAAGATTCATGATTTGACTGCGTGAAGTGTTCTGCGCCACTCCATCTTTGCACTATGCTGTAGTCCCGACTAAGCCAACATGTATTCTCCGTCATACCGCCCCCATGTGAACCACAAAAATCAAATGTTAAGATATTTTCAGTTGCTAAGATGACGGGTTAGAGTTTAATATACTTTCTGTGACTAACCTGGAACGATTTTTTCCCTTCGGGTTTAGTGCACCATTGTCGGCTATTATTTAAAATCTGTAAACAGATGGAAAAGAAGTGAGTTAACCCTACATCAATATTATAGTTAACACTTTAGATATTACTCATAACTTTGGATGAAGGCCATGCCTCCATCTCTCCGCAGATCTGTCCCCGGCGGTGATCTATCTACCCAAGAATTATGACAGCAGAGTTTGCAGACAGCCAAGTTTACTGCGACTCCTGCATGACTACAACCGAGACACGTCTAACTTTACTCGGTTAATTAGCCCAATGGCAATCGACTTGCCTGGCAGTTTGAACCTGCACCGCCTTGTAGGTCAACCGATTAGGGAGGGAATGTAGCTGTACTTTATAGTCCGTGGAGGGAGGTCTGGATGTGATTTAATTGGCGGACAGCAGCTCCTTAAAGCGTGCTCCGGGGAGCTTGGCCAGATTTCCTGTCTCTTCTGAGGGAAACACGGGGTCCTTGCTTACCGTCTGAATGCCATTCTTACATGGTGAGATTCAAGGGAAGATTTTTAAAAAGAACATTAACACTGCCAAGAAAAGACAAGTCCCAACTACCTGAGGTGTCATCAGCCCGCAGTGATCACAATGCGAATGGTTAAAAGGTGTTCAATACAACATGATGGATTTGAAGTAAGCCCGTTGCGAATACGTGTACACACGATCTATTGCTGCATAGTTACGTATGCAGATGTCGCAAACATACGTAAATGCATAATCTCCAATATACTGCAAGGTTTGTCAATTTAATGTCCCCGAGAAAATGTTGGTCCTCAGGGGCTGTGATGACTCAAATCTTGCAAGAGTTCATTTGTTAAGTTCACAATGCGCCCAACAAGTGGTCGTTTAGGGTGTTATTTTCTATATATAACAAAAGAAAGGAAGAAAGGCGGGGAAGGAACGGTAAAAAGTACTCTTCTCTTCTGGCCCGACGGGGTGCCACGGGTATTTAAATATTGTTACCTTATTGACCGAGCATCTATAGTACGTAAACGGTGCCAGTTTGGTGGGCAATAGTACAGTTTGGGGTGCGTGATAGGCACAAGTTGGCAATAGTACATTTAGGGGTGAGTGTACTTTCTTTGGTGTTTGCACGGTTTGTGAGACGATATGAAGGCCACGTACTTGCCTGTTTGCCGTTACTGCACAGCGCATGTGTACACGGTCATATATTCATTTACGCGGCGTTCCGAGGAGTCACTACCAACATGAGTGAGGTTTTGCGCACTGACCCACCTCAGGTGTGTTAGCTTCGTTGTGATTGGTCATCTCAGTGGCTCTTTGCATAAGTGCTTGTTCCAGTGGACTACTCATGAACCAATCATGTACAAGGACAGCAAAGACAGTCATTGATAATAACTGCATGCTACTAGCGATCGACGTTAGCATCGCAAGCAAGAGGTACCCGCTGGTATAAAACTGGTGAAATATTTTGGAATTAACAGAAGCTGTTTTGTCAGAATCTGCAATAAATTCCCAGCGAGGAGCTATATTTTATCGTAGATTTCCCCCAAAGCGAAATACTCTGCTGACAAATTCGTAAGCAGCAGCCATCTCAAAGTGTACTTTGCCTACCGGATAGTTGAGCGTTATCACTAGCTTGGAATCACCTGTGTTAGACGAGTGGCCTCGAGGTTGATTTGTATCGATCAACAGTATTTCAACCCTGGCACACCAGCGCAAATTCCGTCTTTCACACAGAAACTAATTTTGTCAAATAGCAGACATGGTGCTGGTTGATCTTGTCGTATTTTTGGTCGTTCTTCTTGCTGTTTGCAACTTCATGAGCTGGAGAGCAAGAAGGCATTTAAACCTACCCCCAGGACCGCCATCTATCCCTCTTCTTGGCAATTTCAATGTCTTCATGAGCAACCGGCCAATCTACAAGGTACTCAAGGAGCTAGCAGACAAGTATGGAAGCATTTTCTCACTGAAGCTGCCCATGGGTCGCTTTGTGGTCCTGTCCGAGGTAGATGTCATACGGGAGGCCTTTCTGCATCGCTCGGAAGATTTCTCGGGCCGCCCCTATGTGTACTCTGTCAGCCTTATGACTCGCAATAATTGTGGCATAGCTTTCAGTGACTACAGTCCATCTTGGCGCATGCACAGACGAACGACAGCACTCGCAATCCGGAGGAACATGAAAGGGTACAACTGCATGCCGACCTCAGCTAAGATTCAAGAAGAAGTCGCACAATTGAATAAGTTACTGTCCAAGAAAGATGGCATGTACACTGACATCAGTGCGGAGTTGAATCTGTCTGTCCTTAATGTCATTTGTGACATGACATTCGGACAGCGTTATGAAATCACGGACACAGATTATCAGCAGATGCTGGATTGCAACAATAAGTTTGCCGCAGTCTTAGAGCCCGGGGATCCCATAGACATCATTCCAGCGCTCAAGGTAACTTACTTTTATTGACTTTATAATTCCTGCATTCAGTCTACCGTCTTATCAGTTGTCCCTTGCGGTTTTAAATTGCCTTTAATGCCTTATGTTAACAAAACCCGCCTTATCTTGGGATGTCGGTACTCTTCCTTGGGACGTTAACAAGGTTTGATAAAACACGGGTGTTGTCTGGCAGTCTGTTCACTCATTTTGCTCATTCCTATGAGGATTTGTGTGGATCTGGCAATTTTAGGAAGTCGCTGGGAGTTGTTTCTCTGAATTGAAGATTTTTTCGGATGATATTAAAGAGAAAGATGAGATCGAACTTGGGGGGGGGTTGTCAAATATTAACACGTAGACACTGCACCTGAAACTGTGTCATGGCATCACTTCTCTGTGTATACCCACTGAATAAATCGGGTTTTTTTAAATTTTCAAATAAAAATGAACTTGTAAGTGTTAATTTACACTGATCACTCCATAACAGCATAAAAGGAAACATGGCAAAAAGCTTGTTGCACACACTATAAAAAGCTATTCTTATAATTGACTTGAACGCGGCGAGTGAATGAATACTCCAAAAACGAACAATACAATAACTTTAAAAGGCCCCGGGTCCATTATCTGCGTAATATGTCACAGGATATAGAGCAGATGACAGCTGTGACTGCTCTGGTGTGTGAAAAACGTTGTGTTGAATCACAGTTTGTATCGATAGCACAATAGATGCCCATAAAAAGGCATAGCGCTTCACAAAGTGGAACAATGCACCATGCTTCACGGCACTCAAAACCTGACAATAGTGAAAGTGCAGTGGTATCTCACTTTATCACTCGTGTATTGACAGTTAACAATACAAATTGAGCTAGAGCAGCCTTCCTGTGTTATTCAAAACAATGTGTGGGAACAGCATGGCAACTTGTATATTCAAGTCTACACAACATGATTTATTGCGTAGCACCATTTTATTTAAATTTGTGAGGGTTATCGTCATAACATTGCCGGTACGTATACCAATACCAAGAGTCTCATTTACATGTAACAAGGACGTTTTACTGGAGGTTATTTTTATACTTTTAAATTTGTTTTTTAATAAAACCAATTCAATCTATGAAGTCGTTTGGTGCTTGACTGATAGGATGATATTTACAACCACGCTGTGACTTGTCTCGATCGTTCCCACACTGCAGGCAACTCTATAATCTATACTTTACAGACGAGTACATTATCTCGAACGACTCGACTTCATGTCCTTTGATTGGATTTGTACACCGAGGAAAACGTACCCCCTTGAACTTTACCCTTGACTTTTCATGGCCAATATTGACTATAACACCAAAATCTCTTCAAAACCCGGTCACACACTTGATTTCTGAAAAGTCGAGTTGCAGACGAGTGTGTAGGTCAACTTGTCGACTGGAGATAGTCGGCCATTCTGATAGCTTTGCACTTATATTACAGTTGCCTGCACTGCTCTAAGCAGTGCTCATTATACAAGGCGACGTAAGACGGGGTTTTCATAGGTAGGTTTGCTTTGAAGGTGAGTCAAACGGTGGCATTCGTTGAGTCAACTTTGCTCAGGTGTTAGTGTGAAAACGTCACTCAATAAAACCATACACCGTGGGAAACCCACACAAGTTAATACACTATCAATACCAATTTGATAGTCATTATTCCCTGATAGGCCATGCAACTGACAGCAAATTCAAGTTCTTATACAAATAAAAAAAGGTGCTCTAAAATGCTTATTTTCACATAACCACTTCCTAATACGTTTCTCGTTGAAAGAGGCATCAAGAAAAGGGCCATTGTTTTTCGGCATTTGACACAAGCTTTCCCAAAGACTCGAAGAAATCAAATTGAATGTAACTTTTTGTTTTTAATGTGCCTCGTTTTTCCTTTATTGTTTGTTTATTATAATTAACATTTGCTTTGAGGCTATATTGATACCACATAAGATTAAATACACGATTCACTTTTGTTTGAAGCTGTCATTCCCACGCTAGTAACTTCTTTATATTTTCGCACCGTAAATTTTTTGAACCATTTACTTCTAAAATTGAACAGCCTGGCAAAATGAACAATTCTCTCCTTTTGACCGTATTTTTGCCTGTTATCCTGTTGGCTTCGTTTTTTTTCGTGTATCCAAGTCAAGTTCAACGGCATAGAGTCCATTCATCTCAATGATGGCTTCAATCTGAAAAATCGCTACAGTAAAGAACAACTTTTCACATCAAAAGGGACATTTAGGATTAACCTTGCCCCACATAACAACAATTAGGGCTTAAAGTATGATCGCAGGCAAAGCCATCAGAAGACTGGCTGTTTTTGTGATTGTGTAAAGTGCAAGTGGGGCTAATCTTTTTACAGGGCTTGAGGTTAAACTAGGGTATAGTTGAGGACTGTTGCACCAGGATAAGCCATCGAACTCCAAGTTAAAATGTACTCTTGTAAAGCCATAAAAGCCTGAGTAACGTTGAAAATGTGTCATGATTGATTCATATTCAGTTTGGGTTTATTTTGACCAAATTCCCAGACATCCCTGCCTGTTTAATCGTAAATCATCAAAAACTGAAAAGGAATATTTCAATGATCTTTTATAATGCGTTTTTTTTTAAATTTATTTCTCAGATCTTCCCAAGCAAGAAACTTCGTATGGTTCAAGAGATCATCGAGACACGTGACTCCATTCTGCAGAAAAAATACGACGAGCACTTCCGTACCTTCGACCCCAACAACATCCGGGACTTGACCGATGCCTTCATAGCCACCATGCTTGAAAGCACTGATGGAGATTGCAAAGGCGTACTCACTGAAGATCACGTTGTCATGGCAATGTGGGAGCTTTTCGTTGGAGGGTACGAGGCCACATACAAATCACTTGTGTGGGCAATAATCTACGTGTTAAACAATCCACAGGTAAATGATAATACAAAGTTTTTGCTGAGCACTTGTTCTGGGTTCAGATTCTCTACAAATTCAGCACCAATACCATTCACAAACTCTACGTTGAATGCACTGATTCATGTATCCCAATAAGCTCGTTAATCTACTTCTCTGCATCAACATCAGCATCCCAGGTATCCCATCAATGTCAGTACTGCCATGACTGTCACTGAATCTCATCTGAATGCTGCATAGCATACAACTGCAAGCAAAAAGTTATACAAGTCACCCTGTCTTATGACATACCGATCGACTCAAGATACTAAGCATCAAATTGGTTAACATTCCACCGTGAAATCGATGCCGTGTGTTATGTCAGGGATAATTCATTTTATGAATGCGGTTTTCAATGTTCTTTCTTTCGCTCTTTTTATACAGTATAGGCCGACTGCAGGCGAATTAATTTGCTGAGGTTTTTGCAAATACATTATTGTATTTGCGATACTATTCCAACATACACTAAATAATCTCGTCCTCTTACTCTCTTAAATTCCTTTTTTATTAGGTACAAGATAAGATTCAACGTGAACTAGCACAGAAGATTGGGACACGCTTGCCTGTTTGGGACGACCGTCATGAGCTTCCGTACCTGGAGGCGACCATAATGGAGACATTACGTTGTAGTTCTTTCTCTTCGATGAATGGACCAAGGAGGACAAGATGTGATACCAAGTAGGTCCAAACACATTTGGCCAAATATGCACTGGCATATCGTGAAATCACATTAGCCTTTCAACATGGTGTAATATTTACTGAATCGAATACCCAGACGTTGCAGATTAGACACGAAAAGCGTAGGGCAAGCTTTGTCATCGTCTTCAAATAAATAGGTCTTCCTGCAAAGGACATGGATGGAAAGTGGACTTGGAATAATTGAACATCTCTCTTTGTAAAACGATTTCTTGTACCGTGCAAATGCTACTAACATACTCTCTATTCTCTACTAAGTTAATGTCGTCCTTGTCTTTGATAGGGTGCAAGGATATGACATACCCAAGGACTCAACAGTCTTTTGTAACCTGTGGTGGGTTCATCACAATCCTAAATATTGGAAGCATCCCATGAGCTTTCGGCCAGGTGAGTCTAACAAATCAACGAAAACGCCAGCGGTAACAGTGTTAAAAGATGTCCAATCTGCCATTGTGATGCCAACTGGCACTGCCTGTTATCTTTTATGGAAATCGTGAACCTAATAAATGTAACCGAGGGACGCAGCCTGCAAGTGCTGTGAAATGCCAAGCACGCTCAGAACCATTTCCCCATGTCGGAATTGGAATCATCAGTCTCAAAGGTTATCCCTTTTATTACTCCTCGCCCATCTTTCAGTTGCTTAAAATATCTTCTTACGGTGCACATATCTCTGTTAAGACATGTATCAGTAAAGGGGAGGTAAATAACTTTTGGGTAAACAAATGTATGCGCTGAATGAGTATTAAAGTCTGAATAAACTTTTGATTTGTGGGACAATCGTCCAAATTGACGTTTCCCGTTAAGCTGTGTTCTCTAATTCTAAAAAGCCGGTGGAGAAATACTCCTTTGGTTATATGCTTTGAACCACGGTGCTTAAAAAAAAAAATTGCAGCGTTTTGATTACTGGTTCCCAGCCTCATGACAAGATTACAAAACAGTTTGTCGGACTTTTTTTCTTTTTCCCTTCCTAGAGCGCTTCCTAGACGAGGATGGCAAAGTTTTCACTCCCAAGAGTTTCATGGCATTTTCCATCGGCCGCCGAGCTTGCCTTGGGGAGAACCTGGCCAAGATGGAGCTCTTCATGTTCCTGGGGGGCATCCTGCAGCGCTTCCAGCTTAGGACGCCCGCTGGGGAGAAACTCCCCGACACGGAGCCCATGCCAGACATGATGAGATCACCCAACTTTTTCAAAGTTCAGATTGCTTGTCGTTGAAGAAGCTATGGTTGTGTAAAGACTGATATTGGTTGCTTTCATGTAGGGTTTGTAATATCCACGTTGTGAGTACACATGAAACAGTCATTTGCGAAAATAATCTGCAAATTGCGGAGGCCAAACATCGTACATTTGCCCAACTTATCACAGAAAGTCAGAAATGAGAGAGAGATGTGTAAAATAGGTGGTGAAGGATAAGATGTGTGGTAAAGTTGGAACAGAGAGTCTCCATGAAAAGGATTCGTGTGTGGTAAAAAACTCAAATTACATTATGAAGGCAGTGAATGTTTGTAATAAAAGTAATGAATCTTAATGTCTTTCCTGATATTACGGTAACTATCCACAGTCACACACTGTCTGAAGGCAACACGCCTTGTTAGAGAAAAATAACATTGAACACCTTGAGCAAAATTAGAATTGTCAGAATTGCTGGAATCAAGTACATAACGTAAGGTGTCGAAATAAATAAGTCACAAGAAACATAAGGTTTCTCGTTTCGGTTTAGACGTCGTGCTACTGCTGTGTCAATTCCTTAAACGTATTACTACTTGAGTTGGTATACCAGTTTAGACAAGGCCGAATTCTTTTTGCTCATAGAATTCAAATACAAGTCCGTGTATGTCTATTTTTGTAAATACTTGTAAATAGCATTTATTCTGGTGTGGCATTGTTTTCAATAATGCGTGTCAATACAAGCATATATATTATTCACAACATTGTAATAATGAATGTCTTGTGTAGATTTTCTGGAGCAAAATATATTTTATATCCGGTGCACTAAGATATTCAAAGGATGTTTCATATTTACTTTACAGCGTTACATTTCGAAACACTTCTATGGCTGGTCATCCTTGATATGCCAGCGACCATTGGTTCGGGTTAAGACTTTCTGTAAAATATAAAGCAAGTTAAGTGCAATTAGGATGCATAAACCATTTTGATCGCTGCATTTAAATGCAGATTGATACAAAATGATTGAAATAACACGGTCAATCAAGTGCAATTAGGGTGCATAAACCATTTTCATATCTGCATTTAAATGCATATCAATAAAATGATTGAAATAACACGGTCAATCAAAAGAATTAGTTACAAACAAAAACTAATTCTATATATGGATGGAATTTATGGCAACTCTATAGAAAGATGTTGCAAGTCAATATCACAACTTGGTATTTTTAAGGTTTCTTAAGTTAGGTATTCGAACTAGTATCAGAAAAAGCTTTCTGATTTATATCAGCAATTTTGTCGTACCAGCACATCATCTCTTTGCTTGAGAACCGAATTTGAACGGAATTCAGCGCTTCGAGAATCATCACTTTAGTTATTTCCATATAGCGAGTAGTGTTCATACCCACTAATCATGCACTAATGAAGTCTTATTACTTGCTGACCTACTAAGCGAAGAATGTCATCAATGAATAAATTCATCAGTGGGAGTACTTACCATAAATACTCTCCTTAATTGAACGCTGACAGATTATGTTGGTGGCTATACTTAGGACATATACCCTACTTAGAGCGTGTTAAGACAAAACGAAATTCCCTACATATTCCCGCAAGGCTTTGGGAATCAAGCTGCCTCGTGTGCTTTATTTTCCACGAATGTATGAATGGAATACGGTATGTCCCAAAAATGGCACGGGCAATACTGTCAAATTTTAAACACAGAATGTCAACTGGCGGTATTTATAGCTTACATCTTAAAGAAGACACTCTAAGTTTTCTTGGTCTATATTTCATCTCGTTTACTTTTGATCATCTAGATATATGCCCCAGTAAACACGAGAAATCAGAATTGAGTTTGTGCCGCTTTCAAGTCCGATCACTTGACCTATAATTAAAATAAAACGAGCAATTCTTGTTTGCAAGTTGATTTCAAAGGAGATGCTGAAGCTCCACACCCAAGAACATGCTGAGGAGTAATCCTATTTTTCTGATTTCATGTATGATTATTAAGACATCGTTTTTGTTGCGTGAATATAGCAATTTCTGTGTCGAGTCGATCATAAGTCCCTGCAAACCAAGTCTCTTGCAAGTCCACCACAAGACATCCATTTACAATCCAAGTCACAAGCTGTGACTGGTGCTGTGGAAGGACCTGTGATTGGACTTGTGAAAGAACTTGCGATGGACTCAGTACAACATAACTTTTAATGATTCAGTTTGTCTGCCAAAGTCCCATTCATCGACTATTTATGTGCTTTCGTATATCCTAAACGGCTGAACAAATTTGGAACTTTGTAACAATTATGAAAAGTTAAGTTAACACGATTAAAAGTTATCAAAGTGTCAATTTGTTGACTGCATTTCTGTGATGCAGAGTTCATTGTGTTTACACTGTACTAATTTCATTGTCAAAGTCATTATTATATGAGTGACTTGCCAAATTAAATCTAATGGAATTCGTGGAATGAAATTATTTGACAGTGTAATTGCAACCAGTGCATATACTGTTACTGTTACAGCTTGAAAGACTTCCAGGTGCAGAAAATCAGAATACCGTTTCGAAATCTTTTTCTTCTTAGTGGGATTTTTCCACTGCTTTGAGTTTTCAGATAGTGGGCCTTTTCCGTAACATTTCAAACATTTCACTCAAAATATAAAATCGTTTCGTCAGAAACACGTGACAGTATTCACTAACACTCTTTTCAAAATCCTTCTCCTATGTTAAACTCCTAAAAGTGATATTATATTGATCACATCCATTAGCTGGAATTTGCAGTGGTAGGTAAATCAAATTAACTTCTACTTTTTATAAACCCAAAATTCTAAAATTTACAGAATAATTTTCGTAGTATTTTATTTTTTTTGCGGTCGAGTCATGTACCGGTAGTAAGTTCTCTTGCAATGCATAAAAGGAGTAGCTGCTAATTTTGAATAGAGAGAAAAGACTTAGTGAATGCCCGCATGTAACCTTTCGCAACATCGCCTAAGACGGTAGACGACCTCTTCAGAATACCCGTTGACCTATCGGTACAGATGTAAAGGGGAGTCCCCTAGGTACCTGCATCGCTTGACTAACAGTCTCAATCTTGCTTTCTTCTCCTTTTATCTTATGCCCCAATTCTATAGAAATACACTTCTGATTTGCCACATGTGCAAGCCTGCGAAGCGCACGCCGCGGCAAGACTGGTATTTTGTTGCTCTGGTAAGCTGGCTTTGCTGTTTCTTGGAGTTATTGAGGTGGAGCGTGTGGCTGCGCCAGGGACACCCTAAGGCGGCTCTTGGCGGTGGTTGACCCCACGTTCACAATCACACGTGTACTATGTGGAGTAGTGTGTTACACTCATTGAGGGGTGAACGTACGTGCGAGGAGAAGGCATTCCCAGTAAAGTGCCGCATTGATTGATTTAGAAAAACACATTGAATTCTAGAGCATTAAACCATCGATAAATTCAAGAAGAGGCACTTGACATCGTTCTTATTATAACACCTTATAGTACCTCGTTTATATTTCATCAACTTAGTTTGACATAGTTTTTATTTTTTGAAAACAATGAGCAAAGTTTTTATTTTTTGAAAACAATGAGCAAAGTTGTAAACATGTGCACAGTTGACAATGATACAGGTCGGGCCGCCCCAACTTGATGCGATGACGTCGGTGGGGCAACGCAGTAACAGCAATTTCTTCGAAAAGGGTCACAAATTGCTCCCTGAGTGTCCTCTTGAGGCTTGACATTTCAGATTTTGCGCAATTTCCTTGAGCTCACCCACCGGGAAGGGACGGTAGAAGAACGGGCCACTTGCACGAGGCCTGTTATCTTACTCCCACAGTCAGAGATTTGAGAATAAAAGGGAGTTATTGTTTAGGACTTTCACCGAACCCCACTTTCCTTCAGGAAATGGGTAACCCCTCAACTTCCCTGGGAAATTTGGTCGGTTACGCCACTGTTTTGGCATGATAATACGAGAAACCAACATATCAAGCAATGATAAGTCTAAAAGTGCGTACTAATGCTTATGCTTCAAGTTTGAAGGATTTGTAAATAATTGGTTCAGTTTGGTGGACGTCTCGCTTTGCGACATTGCATTAATATAGTTTCAGTCTTAGCAATATAATGTAAACCTTACCAACCCTCTGAATGTATCCATATCAGTGATGAACAGAAGGGAAAGGAAAGGATTCAATTTCAAAAAACTTTTTTGGGGGGCCTTTTTCCAAATAGCACTAGCCACAGCTCTTATTTGTCGGCGTGGTGGTGTCATGAATCTGTTCAAGATCAGGAAATAGGCTCTAACAAGACACGGAACGACGCGTCACACACAGTACTCCGGTACTATCGAGTAATCTTCGGAATGTTACCTTGGCATCGTGCATGTGTCGTGGGTGCATAAAAAATCTATTAAAATATACATACCTACATTTACGAGCCTGGAAGAAGGCCATAGGTTGTCGAGTTCCTATCGTTGAAGAATGTTAAAAGGCTGTTAGACTTTGATACGTGATTGATATATGGTGATATTTGTGGTTGGGCTATTATTACTACGACAATCCATTACTTAAATGGGACGGGCAAAAGAGGCGCTTGGATTGTGCTCTTATTAAGCCTACTCGAGGTTACGTCCACACAAGTGATGACAAACAAACAAGACTTATCACTTTGATCCCATTTATTCACCGATGATAAGATCGGAACATTAAAATAGAATTAAACAATGTAGTTCAGTATAAAAAATTCACACGATGAAGCCTCCACACGATACCTTTTCTTTTCTTTAAAAAGACTTGCTTATTATATATGGATATTCTACCTGTATATTATTTATATCTAGAAGGTCTTCGAATTCCTTGTTTTGTTTAATTTTCAGGAAGGACGAAGTGGTGTTTACAGTAACATAATTATAAGTCTTTGCAAATACCTATGACTGTAAGGAATTCGGGACCCCAGTGGAACTCTCTGTTGTCCAAGTTTAGCCCAAGCATATTTTGGAAGCGGGGGTGATTTGGTATGTGAGGTATTATGTTGGTATTGAGGTGCTCTGCCCCTCAGAAACACGGCATACTTCATAAGGCTCTTATATGTTTCATGATGACCGTGCTATGCACGTTTTCTATTAGCGGAAATTTCGCCCATTCACAAAGAATGTGAGCCAAAAACAAGGAAAACACGCGATCCTTAATTGACTAAAAGGAGAAACCTTTCTGGTTGTAAAATGCCAGTCGTGAGGTTTGGCATTCTTCTGTAAAACAGTTAGGACAGGTTTCTACTCACGGTGAGCCACCGTGAAGTCTTATGAAATAACCAAGGCTGAACCGTATCGCGTGGATCTTTAAAGTTCGGATTGTAGTCAGAACCGTGATGTCGTTCCAAGTCAGTCCCAAGTGTGATCGTACATGTACATGTACAGTACGTGACGGGTGTGATCAGTGTCATACAGTTGTGACTGACATGGCATCATAGGACAACCGGTGACTGATTTACGAGGTCGACTGGCTACTACTGGACGTGACTCTCTGCAGGTGAAACCTTGGGTCCGTAACTTCATAAAGACTTTATGCACCTGGTAAAATAAAAGATGTGTAAGGTTAGCGCAATATTTCTGCTGCCGAAAGGGCAACATTCCACATACTGATAACCAGTTTGCCCTATTTCAATGCACAGCTGTTACTATGTAAACAGTAATTTTCATTCAGCTTGATGGTCAATATGGGGTGAGATTTGCCGTCGATGACTGCAAAAGCTAGTTTGCTCGATATCCTGACAGAATTGGGCAAGTTCGACCAAGGACCATATTTAACTGTAGTTCGATCACTTTCGATCAAACGCACGCTAGTCGACGATGGTTGGACTTGTCTAGTCAAGGTTGGTCGCGTCGTTGGTTGCCATAGCACGTTGCAGAGGACAAGTTAAAAGGAAAAATGGCGGGAAAAACAGAAAATATAAGTATGCCACGAATAAACGATCATTTTCACTTTTCTTTTGTTACTTGTTGACCCATGACCTGACAACGGCTGACTGAAGTCGTAGTGCAATTCAACTACACTACACATCCGCTGGGTACTCCACGAACTACAACCACAAGTTAACTATTGGTCCTTGATCGAACCATGATCGAACCGGACCTTGGTTATTTGAGTTGTTTGTCTGAATAAATGGCCTCATCAGATAACTGATGTACATGTACTCTATCCTCATCCATGACTTTTGACCTACTTTCATGCTTTAATTACAAGATGGGTGCCGCTGCCACTCTGCAACCCCCGACCCCCACCCCGCCCCTACCTCTCACTACGCTGCTGGATTTGAATGACAAGCGCTCATGGGCGAGATGGCTTGCTAGCAACGTGTTTAACTCGCTGGGCAGCTGATGATCAGGCTGTAAGGTTAATGTTGGCTTACTGGCGACATGGCCAACTCTCGCCAGTCAGTTGATGGTCTGGCTGTGAGGTGTATACTGTTATAGTTTACTAACAGCATGCATAACTAGCCGGTCAGTTGATGTACACAAGTGATTTGGCTGTGAGGTTATATCAATAGCTTGGGAGAAGGAGTAACTACCGCCACTTAGTCTTTGGTAATAAGCGCAGCGACATGTTCACGAATTTTAGATGTCAGCCGCATAAATCCGTTGAAAGCAAGCTATAAGGTTTGGATGTTAAGTGGTAGGCGACCCTACAGGAATGTTCAGCCTTCAGGACGGTTTGCACCCCCAGCCTATCCCCCAACCCTGCGACTTGCAGGATTTCACATTCTGAACAGTTGCAGTGTTTCATACCTGTTGAAAGTTTTGGTTCGGTGTTAGCGGAGTCTTTAACTGCACATGCAGGGAAGCATCGACATATCACGGTTTGCCGGGGATCAAAAGCATACCCTCGCCCTCGACCCCTGCGGTCAAATCTCGTAGAGGGGAGGAGTAGAGCGGCGTTGTCCCTGGGGAAAAATGGCAAGGCTTTAAAAAGGAAACGGAGAAATGGAGATTAGATCAAAGAATAAAGGAATCAGGAAAAAAAACCTTCCCAGGTTTGTCAGTCTGTTACTTCTTACCTATTTTAGTACTTTGCCATCTCTTTCCCTCATGCCCCTTCCTTGCGCCCCCCCCGGCTAGATTGGCCCTGCCCACTGTTTAGGGCAAAGGGCACTCTACTAGTAAGGCTATTGAATTACCAAGTTGAAGCTGGCTTTTTAAACTCACTATTACCTCATGCCAGCGCTGTCCAATAATTAATAAAGTGACACATTGGCTCAGATTCACATTTTGTCACGATGAAACCACGTGTACGATGAAAGGAAACATAAAGCGAAGTTCGACACTCTTTTATGATGCTGCTGCATTATGTCAGGCGCGTGTGTGCACTGCAGAATTAGAGGATACTGGGCCATCGTATTACTGGATATAACCACGTGAACTGCTGAGATATTGATAGGATAATGGGCCATTAGCCCACATAGCACAGAGTTCAGTCAACTGCTGCACGTACCGACCTGACGTGTGTGGTGTCATGCTCCCGGGTGACTGTACTATTTCCACACAGACTTTTAGTCTAGTGGTGCACTG